ACATTTTGCTCTGCCTCGTCTCCGCTACACTCATGCCTCCACCAAGCACAGTGTACAGCACTTTGTAACCATAGTAACTTTTTCTTTTTTTTTCTTTCTTTTTTTTACAAAGGAGCTGGTAGGTGTCCATCAAACTTAGCCCTGTCAATATGGCAATTGGTGGTTGGAAAGCTGTAATTTGAAGCTGATGGAGGAGTTTTTGTTCAGATGTGGAAGGATATTCACAGGCACTGATCTCACCATGTTGTACTTTTGCGGGAGGGGAGAGAGGGAAAGTTCTGTGAATTTTTCAGAGACAGGGGAAACACCAGAGTAAGAGAGACTCTACGAAGGCAAATGCAGTTATTTTCTCCAGCTTGACAACTTGTCTGTGGGGATATGAAGTGCATTAGTAACTGTTTCTCCTGCTGTTCAGATTGTGGCGACCTTGGATCGGCGACAGTTGCCAAGAGACTAATGGAGCCCGTGTCACATGATCACAACGCCACCTGTAGTTCTTCGGGAGTGTAGGTGTGAGTGACGATCAGCTCGAGCCCATGAGCTTCACAACAAACTCGGCTCTGGTCCCGGGTAGGGACAGCCTCCCGCTCAAGAAGAGGGACCAAAGACCAAGCTCGCCACTTCAGCAGCAGCAGCAGCAGCAGTGCGATGCTGCAAACTTTAAGGCGCCATACCCTTACAAGAGCCACACCGAACTCACCACAAAGCACACTGGCCCATTCCAGCCCGTGCCGAGACGGGTTACTGCCCTGTACCAGCCCTGGATGCAGACACCCACACCTAACAGGTCCAAACCGCAGATTCTTTCTGCATTCAGGGAGCATCATGGCTGGGCAGAGTGGAGAGAGTTCAACCCCTTGCACCCTGGATGGGACTTTCCTAACCACTATCAGCACCAAAGCCACATATCTGGCACACCTGCACTCCACCCAGGCCATCCGTACTATCCTTCCAGATTCAACGCTGTCTCCCTGGAGGGTTTCCACAGAGCGAGTGGAGCGTACAGCTGGGAGAAGCACAAGACTTCAAGAGAGAAGAGTTTGAGCGCAGAGAGGCAGACCTACAGCAGGCATAAAGGTCCATACATGAGGAGAGGAGAGAGAAAAACTGAGTATTTTCCCAGGGTCGAAAAGGCAAGTACTTCACCTTTGAGCACAAGCCTACCTCACTCTCCCCGTGAGAACCCCAAACTTCGACCTGATTTGTCGCACAGATCAACAAAGGCTGCCTCTATTTCTGGACATTCCTTCATACAAGTTTCCCCAAACAACTCCAAAAGCGCTGGCGGCTTCACGAAGGAGGACGCTTCAAGATCTCCCACGAGGCCCTCCTCTGAGCACGTTTCCTCCTCCACCGCCTCTCCTAACAGTTTCCCCTGGCTCCTCCCTCACTTTGTGGCTGGTTCTCTGATTGAGCTCAGGGATGGGCGGCTGAGGAGGGTAGAGCACCTGCAAACTGAAGACTTCCTGCTTGGCTCACTGGCCTGTCCAGACCTGCGCCTGAGCTGCTGCACGGTGCAGAGTATCTCCCCCTCAACTTCCTCGTCCTCGATCTCCCGCCTCCTCATCATGCTTCACGACCAGCAGAGCCAGGTGAAAGAAATTCCCACTGTGGTGTTAATATCCATAGCACACATTAGTATTCCCACCAAAAAGAGCATCTGGATCTCGTGGTTAGATGGTGTAAAAAACATTAATTTATTGACTTCTGCTCAAAAGCTCTAAACCATTATTTTCTTTTTTATGGTATTTATGATGCTTTATAGCCGCTATTCTCAGACCTAATGGTATTTACAATCCAGAACAGCTGCTATCCTTACACCAGACATACATTAGAGTACATTCCTGTGTTACCTGGTTACATGTATCACTGTCTTCCTAAACACACTCACGTACATAAAAGATAATAACTGAACTTAGTGAAATTTTTAAATGGCAAATTCAAATGCATGAATGGCTTGAATTAAAGGTGTAATGCATGTGCATCCCAAGCTCATCCTTCAGTGCCGTGGTGCTCCATTATTGCCAAGAAAACTGTTAGCAACACCTTGAGTGCGCTGTGGGATTTGCAATAAAATACTACAGGCTGTGACAAATACTAGCATAGAAAGCTTGTATTAATCTGAAGCTGAAAATAGTCAGGAGCATTTGCGCTTCCTGTATCTGTGTCTTCTGCAAAACACTGCAGTGGCCAGCTGTTTTGGGAAATAAAGCAGCTTTTTTATAAGATGGAGCTGTATGTGTGTTGCTATTTTTGTGGCCGCCTTCAGTAGTAATTTTAAGGCCAAAGGAGAATGCTGCAAACAGGGAAATGATCTGAGTTTGTTGGCAGTTAAGAAAAGAAGATATCCAGTAAGATCTGCCTCATGCCTGAAAGCCATTTTTTTCTGGAGGTTCTGCAATGTTTAGCACAAGATGAAGAAAAACCTATAATTGGGTAAATTAAAAGGTGTGTACTTACCTGCAGAAAATTCAATCAGTATATTCTTGCTTTTAAACCCGATGGTGTAACAAGTGAATTTTTTGTATGCATTGATAATGTGCATAAAAACCTGAAATCCATGGGTACTGTTAATCCTATCTCCTTGCTGTTACATGAACTATGAATAGATCCACCATAATGGAACAACACCACCCTCTAGTGAGCAAACGTCTAAGCCGTGCTTGTCTCACAGCTTCCTCTGTATGCATCTGTCTGCCTCCTGCAGGAGCTGGTGGATGTGTATGTGGAGTACCCGTTCTTCGTGCGTGGGCGCGGCTGGTCTTCCTGCAGCCCTCAGAGGACTGCCCGCCTCTGCGGCCTGCAGTGCCACCAGCTCAGCGTAGGGGATGTCTGCCTGGCTCTCACACCTGTATTAGCTCCCCAGGCTCCACAGCCAGCCACATTGGAGCCAAAAACCTCACCCAAGAAGTTAGAAGAGGAAGGGTGTGAGCCCCTAAAAGCACCACATCCACAATCTGGCCCGAGCACACTGCTTCCCACGAGGCCAGGGGAACAAGCACTGGAGCCGAAGAGGGGCGCAGAGGCGGTCCGCAGGAGGCACTTCTCAGCCCCTGAGCTGAGAGGTCCAGGAACTAATTGCATGTAGTGAACAGTGGCTGTTTCATTTGCAGGGAGCTAGCTGGTTGCTTTTCAGCTCTTTTCTAATCAGCCTGTATTTACTGTCATTCTACCTCCTGAATCCTATTTCTGTGCTTGACTGTCGGTATGATGATTGTATCTAATGAGGAACCGCTTAAAGAGGAAAGATTAACTCTCAGGATCCCCCGGAGGTGTGATAACACATGCTGTATTTGTCAAGGTTAGTCAGGGATCACACGCTGACAACATGAATCGTGTCAGAGCTCGACATTGCATCTGCTGTAAGCCTACACAAAGTCTGCAGCAGCACATAATTCAGATCTTATACGCAAGAACTCAGGCTATGTGAGACCTTTTCTTTTTGAAATGTAGAACCAAAGTGTAAAATTTGTGTTGCCACATAAAACCGCTTCAGTAACAATGCGTTTGAGGGAAACCCTGTTAGTTCAAAGGACAGCGTGTTTGAGTTTTTGGCTCTGATGTAAGTGTTCATATTATTATTTCTAGGAGTTCTGACTAAATCAGCCCACGTTCCTTGAAAAGCACATAAAAATACTCCCTCAGGTCTTCGCTGCTCATGATAGTTTCTCTCTTTCCTGCCTGGTATTATGTAAGAGTTCCTTGCGATCACAAAAGGAAACTTCGCTCCGAATTGGAAACTGGATACTTTAACCAATTTGACAATTTCAGATTTACAACAAACGTGATTTTTTCCGCTACGTGAGAAGGATTTCATTTTACGCTTCTACCTCTATTTCTTCGATAACAGGTCTAACCTGTGCTTTTAAAAGCGTGGGCTGTGATGTGTGAGTGTAATATGCTACGTTAGAGGCACAAAGCTTCTCGGTGATGTCGGTATAAATGCCTTTTTTTTAATGCCTGGATATATTGTATTGTGTATATGCTGTGCTTTCTTTTTTTGTACCGATGCTCCTTTTTGAACGTGTCCCACTGTTAAGAGTGGACGTGAAAAAGACTGGAAAGTGTGCGTGTACACAGCTCGCCTAACAGTTCATTTTAAGTGAATAGGATGATCTTTAAATGTAGAGTTAATAATAATAATGGCAGAGTTATTGGACACAAGGTGCTGTAGGTGAAGGTGAAGCAAAGCTGAAGAAATAAATATTCCATGTGTTAACTGTGCAGCACATTCAGTACTTACAGAGGAGGCGTTTACAAGCCAAACATGCGAATAATACTTCTGCTGAGAAAATTTTCGAGGGAAAGAAAAAAAAAAAAAAGGAAATCTTGGTTAGAGTTTCAAATAATTAACTTTCTTAATGCGATAAAATATACAGTCCGGCTGCAGCTCTGCTCTGACACCAGACAAAGTGTGGATAGAGCAGATGGAGGAGTGATGTTGGATTTCGTAGCAGGTCGTGTGGATTGAACAGGTTGGCAGTCAGAGCCTTCATTGACCAGCCTTGTTCCAGGTCAGCCCACCGATGCTCAACCAGACTGGGATCTAGGGAATCTGCTGTGATGCTTAAGCTTTTTCCTGAGTGATTTGTCCTGCTGGGTGAGGCCTGCGACAATGTTCAGGTGGGTGGCACGTTCACACGATTCCCAGAACATTTCATTATGAAAACACGGTCAAATGTTATTTACTTCACCTGCAAGTGGGTTTAATATTTTGGCAAATCTCTGAACAACTGCAATGTTTATGAATCTATCCCACTGGCATTACCTCAGTGCCCTGCTGAACTCCAGACTTCATTTCTCTCATCTAAACACAGGTTCATCCAAAAACGATGGTGAGCGGCTTAAAGAGGAAGATTTAGCTGTAAAGTCTGTTTTAGTTAAATTACCACAATAGACAAAACTCTTTATTCTTATTTTAAAAAGAATTCAAATAGAGATATTTGTTGCATGTATGATAGCGCACACCACTGCCAGTACTTTTTACAGGTTCCTTCTGAGCTTATGAAACTTCTGCACACTGCTCGAAGTCCTTTCGGTACAGTCTCTCTAGTTTCACACATATAAAAAAAATAAAATCCGTTACAAAGAAAAAAAAAATCCATAAAATCCCTTTTTGTGACCAGTGGCTCTATTTGGGCTGTGGTAGTGGTTAAAGCTGGCTCAGCTGCTGGTCATATAAAAAATTTTAAAAAAAAAACAGACCCCCAGAATAAAGCTCTGTGGCAAGAGCTCTCCGGTGACCAGTCAGTTAATCGTCGCTCCGATTCCGCCTTTCTTCAGCATCTCTCTGGATTTGTACGCGTCACAGATGGGAATATGAGTAGTCAGTGACAGCCACAGGCTCTGACCACCATGTTGCGGTACTTCTTGAGGATGACATTGGAGCCTTCATCAAAATAGAGCACAGAGATGCCGTGGAGCTGTGTTGGGGCACAGCAGGCTTTGGGCACCATCTCTGGGTTGATAAAGTGCACCTGTGGCACAGAAGAAATACAAAATATATCCTCAGGGAGAGCAGAGGCTACAGAGGAAATGCCTTTAATCAGGGATCGTTTGAGGCTTACCAGAGTTTGCACAATAGCGTGATTGGTGGCATTCATGTAGGAGTTCAGAGGAAAAGCACATTCTCCCTCACAGTAATATGCTGCGTAGCCCTCTGGTGCTATGATCCAGTCCTGGTCAGAGTTTAAGTGTTTGTTAATTGTCACTTTTGAAGAAATGCTTTCAAAAAAAGTGTTGATAAATTTGAGTTTTTACCTGCCATCCCAAATCCTTGAAGCTGACATACAGCTCGTGCTTTTTACATCCTTCTTTAGAGATGCCGATATTGGCTGAAAACAAAAAGCAAATATCAGTTGACACAACAGGTTCTTACAGCTCCTGAAATGACTCCGCTCATGAGTGACATTTTAACTCTTTAGACGCCTACGAGGAGTAACCTTTGCGTTCCTTTTTTGAACCGAGTGGTTTCTGTTATATTTCAGGCCTGTTTTCAGAACAAAATGACTGAGTGTGTATCAGATATTAGTCAGGGTGAGCTCTGCCTATACAGCTTATTACTGCTACCCCTGGAAAAATGTCAAATCACGTCTTTATTGACATTGAGGTGTCAAAACTCATCATTAAGGGTACAAGGGAGGTCGTCTTCATCTGGGAAAAGAGGGTTTAGGAGTTCAGTAACCTGTTGCAGCTTCCGCTGCCCTCAGTGCATCTTGAACAGTCCTCTGGGGTTTATAGCGGCTTGATTGGCGCCCCTTTTGGCCATTGGCTGAACGAACGCTGCGGAGTCGCACCTCATTGGTTTTGAAGAAGACAACCAGGAATGGCTGCTTGTCCTGAGGCCCACCGCCTACTGCCACTCCAGCTAACTGGGGGTTTCTCTTCTGACCTGCAGAAATCAAGTATTTATTTATTGATTGATTTATTTAGTATTACTACCATGGATCACACTCCATTTTTCAGTTTTGTAGAATCAATTTTGGATAACCACTGACCATGACTGTCCTCAAGAACCAAGTGCAGGCCAAGATTATGCTCAGGGTTGACCAGCCACAGGTTACTTGTGGTGGTCAGGTCAAAGACCAACCATCCCTCTTCTGAAGCCAGAACTTCTCGCCGGTCCAGCAGGAACAGCTCCAAGTCACTGAGGACAGAATGAAATGTAAACACACTCGAGGGATTTCAGTGCAGAAAAGCTCCAAGTGCAAAGTAAAATCTTTCCCCCGCGGACTCAGTCGATCGACTTCTCCACAGAACACAAATTAAAATGCAGTGAAACCCCACCATGATGGGTTGTTTTTCACTGCAAATGGATTTCATTCCTCTGTGAAATTTATTGAACCCGGGGACGTTCTTGAAAATACAAACACATCTGAAGGAATGTGGTATGCTTGGGAAAATGTTTGGCTTTCAGTATTTAATACACCACAAATGTCAAAAGCATATGTGAGATCCTGAACGACTTAGAGTGCAGAAGTACTGGAACACTTGTTATGTTTTTTTAAGCTCACTATACCAGTACAGTGGAGCTGAAGTTCACCAGTTACAGTGAGGTTAAAGTGCTAAGCTTCAGCAATGTATTTGAGGGTAAACCCACGATGGAGACGGATCAGAGAAACCGTACCAGGCAATGGTTAGAGACTCGAGTTTAATCTAAGTGGACACATTTCATTTGCTGAAGTCCAAGCTGAAGGGAAAAGTTCATCGCAGCAGTTTGTGTGTGTGTGTGTGT